ATGCACCAATCCGACATTATGGATACTGTGCAGACGATTTGCAATGTCCTCCAGATACTGTAATTTCATCTTCCAGGTTAATTTGTTGATGTTTTGATCCAAGTAAGACATAAGATGACCATTATTCGCATATTGCATTACTATTATATATTCTTGTGTCTTTGGATGTTGTGTGATTCCATAAATGTTAAGAAAATCCAAGTACGCCGTACACTTGTAATGATTCATCAACTAAACGTTCAAATATACAATACGCGTCAGATATCAAATCAAATTAACATAAACCAGTGTTACTACGTGTATTCACAATTACTTGCCTCGGAAATGAATAGTTCTGGTGTCCGACCAAAATTCTTGAAACATTTTAAAGCAACGCGTTGATCAAATGACTCGTGTGTGGCAGCGTAAACTGTTCCGTAACCTCCTGACCCAATTTCTTCAATCTCGTCAAATTCGCTATATTGCATATATTTCAACTCGGATCCTTCATGCACAAATCTGCTCAATACTGCTTGTGCATCGTAATAAAACACTAATAAATAGTCTCGTGTGGACGGCTCCTGAGCGATACCTATAACCCAAATGTTGTCGGGAGTTAATATCGTTGGATACTCTTTCGTTATCTATTCCATAAATATAAAGGCAATCGTTAAACAATCGCGTTGGAATGAAATACTTGGTTTGTACAAAGTAAGATTCATTACCTGAGAAAAGTCGAATGATTGAGAATTCTGCCCATCAACTATCTTCTTGAACATGACTCTAATCAACTGATCTCCTCTATAAGTCGTTTGTGACCAGTCAGCCGTATGAGTGCATTCGAAATTTAGCGTTGATGCTTGTTCTATATTCGTCAACCGAGAATAATCTACCCACTGTATATAGCTGTCGTTGTACTGCTTAGCATTATCCCATGACTTCATTATGAACAAGTCCAAGGATTCGTTACCAGTGGTCCAGTTGGGAGGATTCGGTGCCTTACATCGGTAACAGAATGCATGTATTTTGGGATGTAAAGCCGATGTACATGCCAGACATAGACCACTGTCGTTTTTACTTTTAACTAAACAGTATTTTCGCCGTGTAACGTCGTATGTAAACCCAACAGTGATCCAAATATTAGCGGTAAGAATGTCTGAATGTTCAGCAGATAACTACATTCGATATCAAACATTTAGATTAACATTAATCAACAATCGGATAAACCTGATATCTATTAGATGAACGTCACCTGGATGATCTTACCTGGTAGTAGTATGTATCGTCCGTCTCATCTGTTATCGTCAGTGGAATCAATTTTACTTTTTCACGAGTAGGTAGACCACTATACATCCATGCCGATGATCTTTCAATCCTAATACAATCAAAGGGAATCCATTCCAAGTATGCTTCGTTTGCAGATTCCGTTTGCATCTGTGATTTCCTGATAAATTCGTCGAGTTTCTTGTTGTCACCAGTCCAGCCGCTTGTTAGTTCTCTATGACCACAAATACACAGGACAGGACTACATCTAAACCTTCCACATGCAGAGCAAAATCCATATAGAGAATAAAAGTTGTAAAATAATCTCTTGGCCACGAGATAGTAATTGCCGTTGTCGTTGGTAAATCCCTTTATCATGCGATTGCGACTGTCAAGCCAGGTCGAATATCTTTTAAACTCATCGATGTTGGGTGTATCGTTGTGCCTCGGAGACGGAAGTGAATATATTCTAGCAAAATCATCTATAAATGCCTGTGTACACGTGTCATTGCTTCCGAGTAGTAGTAACATTACATGCTCAGTGTTATATGCCTTTTCATGAGTGCCGTAATAAATAGTTTGATCATTAATACTTTTAAAAACTTCGACACGTCTAAATTCTGCGTAAGGAATCCATTCAAGATGATATCTTTTGTCTGCTGGTCCTCCGCTGTTGAGAAACTTGGTGGATTCAATTAGCTGATCGATTGCAACATATGCTGAAGTGTTCCCATTAGCTTTCGAGCTTTTAATCGAAGACATTCTTCCGAAAGACTCTTTATGCTGCGCTGAATGAAGAGATCTTCAAATCACATGATTCCCAATCTCTAAAATTTGACCGGGTAAATCATTATTGTCATAATATTAATTGGGAAATTATTTATTTGACAATCCAGCAATAGTGTGTATTTATCGTACTTACTTGTTCTAATCAATTATATTACCAACCTTCCTTGGTCCCCAGTTTACGTTTTAATCTCTATAACCAACACTATGTTTTGTCAAAGAATAAACAAGACATAAAGAAATGAATATATGTCACGACATTACCCGTCCAAATGGTTATCTATATTGACGAAACTCGTCAACAAAATTCAGTATATGATCTCATTTTTAAACAAATGATTGTTTGAAGGCAAAAATTCTCTTATTGAATTAAAAACTCCAAGTGCTCTCTGTCGTTGCAGTCCTTCTTTCTCATTACCTGAATAACATATTCTCTGAACATTCAGTGCGAAAATGAAAAGTGCAAACATGCCGTATACAAATATTGTGATCGTTTTAATCTCCAAAAGTGGTCTTTCTCTTCATCAATATCCCAAACGTTTGGTGTAATCGCAAATCACCATATGGTTTTCCCCTCGACATTTTTTCCAGTAACGAGTCGACGTTCATCTATTGTCCAGTCAGCCACGCTAAACGACAGAAAAAGTATAATACAAGGAACAAAAAGGCAAAATTGACCACGCGTTAATATTATATCATAGCAATAGAGACTAAAGATAATTTGCCCGCTTGGTTTATCAGCGATAAGAATAGAAGTGTTACATAAAACATTTATTCAGGCGCGACAGTCTCTGACAAGCCCGCTGCTTAAAAAAAGTACAATTTTTGTATTTCATTGCGTAGTGGTTATATTTCTCTCCCAGAACACACGTACATTGTCATAGATAATGTTTCCCGGCAAATTTTTGCGTAATTGTATCTTGAACGTTTACAAGTAAAAACTTTACTTTGCCTTTCAATAATTCCGCAAATTTTTACTTGACCCAAATAAATAATGCAATCGCGTACATTTATAGAATCTCGTTATGAGTTGTTTACTTTACAGACAACAATTATCGTATTTATTAGCTTCAATAAGCTATTCAAGTTTTTAAATTTTTTTTGCTCGCAGGTCTAAGCAAGTACGGTAAGTTTCTATTTCAAAGTTTGTTGAACTTATTCTACGCGCAAAAACTCGGATAAAATTAATACAGCGAGGAGTACAAGGACTGCTAATTGCGTTTAAAAAATATTTCTCGCAATATCACTCGAATACAAAACTCGGTTTGCCAGCGTCAGTCATTGGATTAGCTTCTTCACTACACGGACGAAGTCATACCTGCAATCAATGTTTTCCAAATTTACGTTGTTGTAGAGTAATTACTTGACACTTAACAAAGTGATTGTAAACTACTTGTATTACACTTTTTTCCAGAAACAACATAGAAACACTGAGCATCAAATATAAAAGAAAAAATAGGCAAATCTCATTTTCAAGCTTGACAAGATATCGACTGCACCCAAGCAAGTGCAGTGGTTAGTCCAAACAAACGCCGTTATTATTGCAACAAAACAGGGCGCGCATAATCTCGATATACTATAACCGGTCACAATGCCTGCAATAAAAATGCTCTAAACGTTAATTAAGAATAAGCCAGCCAGGTCAGTTTTCTACATCTTGCTCGTTATATACGTGCATCGCTTTTCAATAATGTTCGCTTAATATATTGCATATCTTTCAGTAGGACAAATAAATTGCTCATAATGAATCATTTTTTACACCAATTGAAAATGCATCAATTTTCAAGTTACGTTCCATAATATCTAATCTTTCTTCCGAATATAAACACACCCAATAAAGACTTATTAATTGCTAAAGTAAAATTAAAGTTGGAAAACAATTAGATACACTTTACACTTGGTCAGTTTTCTCGGCGAATATTTTCGCGTCGTGTAAGCGATGAATAAACAATCATACTTACACAAGTAATATCAAATTCTATAATAACATCGTCTTCAGACAAAACATTAACCACACATGGTAAAATGTATTCAGCACTGTAGGTATTATTACTACGTTCAATCTTCAGTTGATGTTTTTATCTACAATCAAATGTTTATATTTAATGTAATTAAGATGCATCAGCAACGTGTTCATCTAATACTTACAATAATTGTAATTGCACTTGAATACCACCAATTCCCCAGCAAAATGCAGTCTGTATTTATTTGGAGGTACTTTGAATATTGGTATTGTTAGCTAATATATAATTGTTTATCTCTAATTCCTGGACTCGGTCGTTGAAAATCGCCAACTGAGCCAAGACTTCTTCATCACCAAAACCTAGCGTTAGACTACCCTCCAAGTCTGTTATACTCGTAAAAGAAATATTGCCACCTCGAGTGACTAAATATAAATGATTAATATTATGTTCTTCTAAAAATAAATGTAATGACTTGGCCAAATTTTCGGCCTCGTCGCAATATTTAATGTGGTTGTCTATATCTATACTATTTATAAATTCATCTATGTTAAAATCTAAACTAATAAAACTATCATCAACGTTCATACCCTCCAACTCTAACTCCTTCGCGCCAGCCAGAGAGTTTTCATCAACGTCCCGAGGCCTTTCCACCGTCAGTTCGTTCAGTATCGCCGTTTCTTCGCTCAACTCGTTCGCTATTGCCAGATCCTTCGCGAACGTATCGTTCAACCAAAAGTTAAAGTCTACCTCATCATCCAAGTTACCACCAGGGTTCAGCGGCGAGTTTTTTAGCGGTTCGCCACTTGTTGGTGTCTTGGGAGTGGTGGACGGACTCGGGATAGTAATCGGACTGTCCACTTTCCCACTTACTAGGTCCTCTTCGCCGACGGCTTTCTTCTTCAAATTGCTGAGCTTCGTTCCACCGTCGACTGATGTAAAGGAAGTCCGCCTCTTCTTGTCTTTGGCGGTACCAGTACTCTTCATCGTACCGGTATCTACTGGCGTATTTTTTGACTTCTTCGGCTCGGGAGCCGGTGTGGGGCCAGAAGACTTCCTCTTCCTTGATGGTGGGCTTTCGGAGCTGTTGTTCCACCGTTCGGAACACCCATCCATCCTCGTCGTTGGTGTAGACCCAGGATCCAAGAGCGTCATATCCTGGTTTTCGCTCGCACTCTTCCTGCCACTTTCTAATTCCATCTTTCTCTTCTTCGTCGAGGGAGTGGCAGATATCTTGGAACCAGCGTATCTTCGCTTCGTTTCTACACAGGAATTCTGGGTATGGGGTAACTCCTGTTTCTTCCACTGGTTTTTCTTGATCTGAGGACCATGTTGTGGCGGTGGCGACTGAGGTGACTGACTCTTTGTCTGAGCCGGAGTCGGAGTCGTCCCACTCGAGGATGATTTCTTCTTGGTTGACTCCTCGGAGTATTGACTTATTTCGTTTTTTGGCAGGCCCTTTCCTGCCAACCTTCTTCCTTTCTTCAAGGTTCTGACTTGCAGTGGTGTCAATTTTGTAGGCTCTTGCCCAGTTAAAGAGGTCATACTGCTCTGGTGTACTGATGGTGGAGCAGTTGTGGATTGCAGCGAATAGGGGAAATGTCTCATGGATGGTGGAGGCTGGTTGCCCCCAGTTGGTGATTTCTTGGTGTGGAATCCAGAAGGTGATTGTCTGTTGCCCATCCCTTCTGATTTCCATGATTTTTCCTCTGGCATCAAGTTGGTATTTCCAGTCCATACAGGAGAGCGCTTGATACTGGACTGTGTTAATTCTTTTTGGCCAATATGCCTCAAGGTAGTTATATACTTCGTGGGAGTAGGCCCAGATTGTGAGCCTCTGTCCCTGTTCCTCTCTGGTGGCAATGTAGAAGTGTTCGTTGGCTTCGACTTGCCAATTCTTTGAGCTAATGAGCTCGATGAAGATTTCTGGAGTGAGTTGTTGTCCATTGATTTGCATTGGTAGAGGTAAGTGTTTGATTTAAAAGTGTTTGTTTTAAGAGTTGTTTCTCAGTTGCTGATGAGAATATCCTTCACTTGCTTGAGTGTTGCTAGCTTGGTATTTTCACTGATGTGAAGATGAGGTCAAGGCTGGGGGAAAAGGTGTGTTTATATAACTTTTCAAAGTTGAAGTGTTACATCTTATATGTGGTCTTATCACCAGAAATGGCATTTAGTGTATTCTTAATAAGTTTGAGAAAGTATCTAATATTGTAATTGCACTTAAAGTCTCCAATGCTTTTGTCTGATTTAC